TCCCCGCTGCGTGTGTGAGACAGATACAATGCACAGCCCTGCCCCGGCCATTGGAAATATGGCCTAGGCCTTCAGAGCAGAGCACATGTTCATTGGAACTAGACCGGGGCTAGAACCGGCCATGGCATGGCAGCTGCACCACACAGAGAGCTGGGAGCAACTGGATTTCCATAAGCTTTGGTACCACTGCTTTAGTTCTAACCATACCTCTCTTCTTACAGGGCACATTCGCACACTGAGATGCACATGCACACACCCGCGTGGACAGACACGCACACACACCATCCAAGCCAGCAAGACCCCCTCCAGGAGATGTGGCCTGAGAACCTGTAACAGACCAGGCCTGCTGGGGAGATGGTTGGGGTGACACTTTGTGGGACAGTCTTACCCGAACTGAAGCCCACGTGAAAACTCAGAGAAGCTCATTAGCCAGGGAGTAACGGCAACACTCTGGCTACTTTCCAAGGCAAGTGACTGGCAAGAACTTTACTTCCTGCTGGACTAGGCGGGAGATGAACTAGGCGGGTTTGAGAAAGGCAGTGCTGCTTAAATGTTTAGGGACATTAAAGATATCAGAGGAAAAATCCATGTCAGACACAGCTAGGGACCACAAATGAGGTTATGAAGTGCATTAAAACCTAAAAAACCTCTAATCGCTCTGAACGTTTCTGCATCACACCATGTGGAAGGCTCTGACCGTGTCCCATGGCCTCTCTCTTCTGGTGGATAGAGGTTCGCTGTGAGTCTCCACACGGCCTCTTTCCTTTTACCAGGGTAAGGGCCACACCCTACTGAGCCATATTCATCCCAGGCCAGTTCACAATCCTGAGGTAAAAAACCCTTTGGTGATCCGGGTCTCCCTTCTCTGTGGCAAACTCTGCAGTGCTGAGGCGGGAAAGGGGAGTACAGCTAAGCCTTCTGACTTGCCATTTGGGCACCCCCACTTTGTCTGAGGTTGTGACAAGCTACAACCTCTGCAAGTCAAGCACTTATACAGCCACACACAAACAGGGACACACCCAGCTGCACGTACATAGAGGCTTCGACTAGCCCATCACAACCAACAATAAAGATGCTCCAACTAATTCACCTACAGCTTCCTTAGTTAGTAGCCCAGAGCTGTACCCTCTTGCCCTGGTCACAAGCCTCTGTAGCGTCAGTTGTTATCCAACCAGTCCCTCCCTCAATGTGGAGGGCACAGCACACCATCTAAGGTCCAGAGCAGAATTCCCTTATCGTTTCATCTAGATAAAATACTAGAAAACAGTTGTATTAAGTTTTTAAAAGGCTACAAGTAACAGTGAACAGCTCAGATTTGGTGCCCTGCCAACTAAACAGAACTGCATCCTAAATTCTACACAATACATGGGATTTGACTCACACCGTTTCCCATTCTTGGTGTCTCAGTCCCTGTCTGATGTGGAGGCAGTGTGTGGAAAGCAATGTTTAGGTTTTGCCCATACCACTCCCTAAGGTGGCAAACATTGCGGTCTTACCCCATCTATTCAGGGAGTGGGTCTTCTTGATGTGTCTCTTTTTATCTCTGCAGCACGTCAATATTGAACCTTTCAAGGTGGTGATAACTCAATACAGATATTCATTGAGACTGTGTGCCTCAGTTTCCCCTTCCAGATAGTAAACCAGTATGTCCCCAGGGCTCCTTGATTACTACTCCTAACATTCAAATCCATTTGGGACCTTCTTCCCTTCCCCCCTTTCCCAGAGAGATGTGCTCTGTGCTCTTTGGGGTAAGAGGTGTGTTTTCTCCCAGCGGCTCCTTCACAGCTTCCCCTCTGTGTTCCTCCAGCTTTGGTGAGGTATTTCTAAGCCTCTGTCTGATGAGACGTTACCCTTTTCACACACACCCATGTTACCCTTTTCACATGTCCATTTCTTCAGTAGGAGCTTCTCTGATATACCGGGTGATCTGGAATCACCACACAGAGGGTCAAATCAGGATGAATTGCTAAGAACCAGGGCTACTTACAGCCCAACACCGTATAAGGCATTAAACCTCTATACAGTGCCAAACCAGTCACACGGAGCCCTTGAGCTGCCAGTCTGACCCACGAGCAGTCTCACAAGCAATGCCCTTACACACCCCAGCATTCTCTGTGCCACAACGAGCACCCCTCCACACACACATGAGAAATCCAAACAGGTTCTACCGATCCCAAAGGACCAGGCACAATCCCAGGTCAATTTTTACCTCAGATCTTACCCAAAAGCGCTCTCTGGACCAATCCTTTAGAATCCAAATTTCCAAGGTTTATTAATAGGAAGAAAAAAAGGTTTTTTAAAGAAAGCACATGTACATTGATCCCCAAATCCTTAGCACAAATGAAACACACTTCTCTTGTCAAAATCTCTGGAGCGCGTCCTGTGTTAGGATTGGTCCTCGTTTCTTCCTGGCTCTCTGGTTATCACAAGATGCTGCTGAGGTAAAGAGGAAGAGTGAAGACAAAGATGGAGGAACTCCCAGGATCCTTTTATAATCTTGCCCATGCGACGGGAAACGCAGTGTTCTCCTGAGGAATGGCGCCTCCCAAAATGGAGCTGATCCCATGTTCTGCTAACCTGTCTGTGTCCTGTTTATACAAACAGCCATGGGGAAGCTGCTGGTTGGCAGATCCCCAGCAAAACTCCTTAAGTGTTTATTGGGAACATTGAAGGCCTATTGTCCATGCAGCATCGCTCTGCACTGGGTAACCACCCTTCATAACAGGGTGTTCCGCACCTGCCGTTCTCTGCCAGACTGAAAACATTGAAAATTCATTGGAAGTACAGAGTCAATACTCAGAACTTGACATACAAAATTCATACCTATCTATGAGCAGCATAAACAGAATCAGCAGAATAGAAGCTTTCATTGGACAACTCCCTCGGCCCACTTTGCACAGAACTGGGGGCAATCACACCACGGTGGGGAAAACTTCCCTACCGTGACCCACAACTTCCCACAACTTCCTGTTCAAATCCAAGAATGTACCAGCTGCCTCCTGTCCCACAGTGAGGGTATGTCTAGACTACATGGCTCCATCGACGGAGCCATGTAGATTTGTTTGTTCGGCAAAGGGAAATGAAGCCGAGATTTAAATATTCGCAGTTTCATTTAAATTTAAATGGCTGCCCCACTCTGCCGATCAGCTGTTTGTCGGCAGATCGGGGCAGTCTGGACGCTCCCCTGTCGACATGAAAGCCCTTTATCGACCTCCCCGGTAAACCTCATCCTACGAGGAATAACGGGGAGGTTGATAAAGGGCTTTCAGGTCGGTGCGGGAGCGTCCAGACTAGCGCACTGAGCCAACAAACAGCTGATCAGCTGTTTGTCGGCTCCAGGAAGCTGTTTGTCGGCTCAGCACGGCAGCCATTTAAATTAAAATGAAGCCACGATTATTTAAATCGTGGCTTCATTTCCCTTTGCCGATCAGCCTAATCTACATGGCTCCATCGATGGAGCCATGTAGTTTAGACACACCCTGACAGACTAAATTGTTTACCCCTCTGAAGGTAAAGAGACAGAGATAGTTTTCACAAACCCATCAGAAAAAAAGGTGAGTTATTCTAAAGGTTTTCAGTAGAGCACTTTTCTCGAAAGCACTGTACAATAGTTGTAAGTGGTACAATCAACATTTGAAAAGAGGAGTAAGCGGTCTACAGAGAATATCAGCCATTTTCAAGTGGTCATTGAAAAAAAGTTTGAGAACTTCTGGTGCAGTGGCAGCTGAGCTATTGTTCTCCTTCCATGCGAGCTACCAAACAACCCCAGCCTCTATTCAGCCTCCTGCCTTCCCCAATAATAGGGCGTTATCCTTCAACATCACTTCGACATTGTCCTCCCAGCTGCAAAGGCGATCCTTAGCCTTGCCCCATGGACTGTCTCATGACAAAGGGCTGTCAGCCCACACACACCACAGGGATCCTGCCTGTGACAGGCCCCCTGCCAGAAGGAACAAAGGGAACTGCAAGCTAAAGACATTGGCCTCACAATGGTGTCTGTCCTCAGGGGTTTGTAGCTGAGACTTAGGGCCAACAAGCTGTATGATGCCCGGCCTCCCCCACCTGCCTCAGAACCCTACTCCCAACTCTCAGCTGCTTTTATACGGCTTCCTGTCTTCCTTCTGCCCTCCTGCCTGGCCTGCTGGCCCCAGAGGTGCATCCCCATTGCAGGCTTCTTGTCAGTCGGTGACAGCTCCTGTCACAACCCTAGTTCTGAAGGAGCCCAGCTGCAGGGGATGAAGGTGGCGATGACCCATGGAATGGTGGAGGATGGGACAGAGAGAAGCAGGTGAGATTGTTGGGGCTTTGGACAGTGAGGACAGAGGTGGAGGTGTGCGGAATGAAATGGGAAAGGAAGGGGAGTTGGGGCAGAGGGCGAAGCTTTGAGGGAATAGGCAGAGAGAACACTGGGGCTCAGAGGTGCAGTTATCAGAACACTGGAAATGAGGAAAACCCTACGAGTTAAGGAGAGGTACCCAGATCAGTTCACCCGCTCATCTCACGGACAGAGCGCAGGAAGATCGGGACAGGGTTTACTGACTCTCCGATGGCCTGGTAAGAGATTCAGGGCAGAGCGCCCAGCAGCATGTTACCAGCCTGCTCTGCACAGACGTTGGTCTGTGGGGGTTTGTGGGGGGATTTTTTGTTTCGGAAGAAGCAAGCAAATACCATGGCGCCATTGCATACTTTCTCCATGGTTTTTTTTTTTGGAAGAGGCTTTTCTAGTATTTGCCCCCATCTACACAAAGTCAAATTTGAGAAAAAAACCCGATTTCAAGAGACTCTTTATTCCTCTTACATTGAGGTTTACAAGGTCTTTCGAAAGAGGGTTTTTTTTCTGAAATTTGACCCCACGTAGACAGGGGTAAATACTAGGAAAGCCTCTTCCAAACAAAACAGACACAAAGGAAGTATGCAAACATGCCGCGGTATTGGCGTGCTTCTCTCGAACCAAAAAAATAATGTAGACATACCCTGAACCAGAGCACGAGGGGAAAACCTCATGTGCCCTTATGAATAAACAGCTTCAGTAGCCTGTCCCGGATCTGTTTGGTCATCACCCCGTAAATGAAAGGGTTTAGCATGGGAGGCATCAAGGAGTACACATTGTTAATGAGAACTTGGAAGGGGTGAGGCTTCTTCTTGTCAAATCGGGCCGTGAGGGAGAAGAAGAAACTTGGGATGTAAAACACTAAAATAGAACAAAGGTGAGAGGTGCAGGTCCCAAACGTCTTGAGCCGGGCGTCCTTTGTGGGCAGGCTGAAGATGGCCCTGAGGATCTGAATATAGGACACAACAATAAAAATCACATCCAGTCCATTAAGACAGAATAGTACAAAGAGGCCGTAGTGACTACTGGCGCTGAAATCACCACAGGCCAGCCCCACCACGGCCATGTGCACACAGTAAGGCAGGGGGACCATGTTTGATCTACAATATGACCACTGCCTTGCTAAGAGGACACAGGGCAGTACGATGAAGCCAGCACGAAGCACCACGGCCAGGCAGATGTTGCTCACCACTGGGTTTGTCAAGATGGTGGAATGTCGCAGGGGGTGGCAGATGGCCACGTAGCGATCCACAGCCATGGCTACGAAGATCCCAGAGTCTATTGCTAAGAAACAGTGAAAGAAAAACATCTGGGTGAGGCAGCCATTGAAATTGATCTCCCTGGAATTGAACCAGAAGATGCTCAGCATTTTGGGCACAATGGAGGTAGACAGGATCAGGTCGGTGATGGCCAGCACGCAAAGGAAATAGTACATGGGCACATGAAGGCTTGATTCCGTCTTCACAATGAAGAGGATGGTGAAGTTCCCCAAGAGGGCCATGATGTACATGATGCAGAAGGGGATGGAGATCCAGACATGGGCTGTCTCCAGGCCAGGGATGCCCAATAACTTATGTTGGATTCTGACATGGGGTCAAGTAGAATGGGTCCAACTCTGGGGTAGAACAATGACTCCTATATCTGCCGTCCGTTCTCCTAACTTCTTGATGCTCTTGTTCTAGGGGTCTAGGATGATGGTCGCAGGACAAATGCCTGGAAGGAGAGACAGTATTCATATCAGACAGTACTTTCATGACTAGTAAACAGTTTCATGTTGGAAAGAGTTTGTTCTGTTCACACACTGAAATGCAACATTTTCATTATTCGGATTAATGTTTCATGAACGGCTGGTCTTTCTAATATGAATTCCATAATTCTTGGAACTCTGCTCAATAATGTGTCGTGGTCTGGGAAACTTTAATAGACACTAACAGGAAGAAAAAATGAGTCGGGGCGCTTTTTACTCATCTGTGCTCTTTAAGGAGTTGAAAGTCAGGCCGTTGGGAGTCTCCCATTCTCCTGCTTGCTCAAACTGTGAAAGTGCGTGTGTGTGTGTAGGGGGGGGAGGAACAGCCTTTGCCAAGACCTTTCTAATGTTACGTCTATGTTCTCTAGAGCTCCCAGTTCACTAAGATGTTGTGGTCTGGGAAAGTTTAACAGGCACAAGTTGTAATAAATAAGTGGGCCCTTGTTACCCATTTCTGTTCCTTAATGCAGTGAACGTCAAGCCAGCAATTCTGTGCCGTAGGCAATCCCCCATTCACCTGGTTCCTCAAAATTTCAGAGTGGAAAAAAAAATCCCAAACCTTTGCCAAGACCTGTGCTAGAGGGAACCATCCCAGTGAAAACAGCCCTCAGTGAAAAGCCCTGGGGGTGATAGCTACCAACTGCACAGAACCTCCTGCTCAGTCATAGCCGTGGCCAAAAGCAGGACAATCGTAGGATGCCAAAGGACTGGGATGACAAGGATGTTGTTTTGGACTTGTGCTCATGTAACCCACACATCTAGAGCGCTTCACTCACCAATGCAGTGGTACCTAGACCACAGAAACAGCTAAGATCGAGAGACCTCTACAGCACGGGCTGGGAGCCTGCTGGCTTTTAGGTCAGAGGGTAAAGCCAATAATCAGCTTCAGAGGTCCCAAGTTCAAATCCACCAGCTGGTGGTTACATGCAGGTGGCATCTCGAAAGGGCATGGCTGATATAAACGGGGCTTCTGGCAAAGGCTACTGGTACAGGAGGAGGCTGCCCTTTGTGGATAGACTGAAATGTCAGGACTGTTTAATTTAGGGAGGAGATAAATATGGGAGTGATGATAGAGGAGAGGATGATAATAGAGGAAAACTTCTCAACCAGTGATATCTATAGACATGAAGTGCTTTAAACATTTTGTGTGCGTCTAGACTGGCTTGATTTTGCGCAGATACTTTCAACGGAAAAGTTTTTCTGTTAAAGGTATTTGCGCAAGAGCGCATCTATACTGGCAGGTGCCTTTGCGCAAAAGATTTGCTTTTGCGCAAAAGCATCCGTGCCAGTGTAGACGCTTCCTTGCGCAAGAAAGCTCCGATGGCCATTTTAGCTGTCGGGCTTTCTTGCGCAAGAAATTAACTTGGCTGTCTACACTGGCCCTCTTGCGCAAGGATACAAGTAAGCCTGATTTCATCCTTGAATCAGAGCACACATTTGGCTGATCTAGGGAACCAACAGACTTTGGTTTCTCTTATTTTATTGACTAGGGGACACGTTCCAATTAAAACATAAATTATACATTATTAGTGGGGTGTACATTACATGGGCTAAATGCCATTGTGAATAGATCATTTTCAGTGCACAGGGCTGTATCTACTGGTGTTCTCCTGAGATCCTTTCTAGGATTGAAACTAATTTTTTCATCAAAGATCTGAGAGCAAATCATTGCAGATACAAGACTGGCAGGGTGATTACAAGCAGGATAGCCCAACTATGGGATGGTTTCCCTCTGCTCCCATTGAATGCTCTGTTCCCTTGAGACTTTCATCCTCCTTAAGAGCACTGGGGCTCTCAGACTGGAGGTGGGACAGTACTACAGTGTCCCGGAAAGTCTCATCAACATAGCTCTCTACCTCCCTTAGCTCCTCCAGTTCAGCCACCCTGGCCTCAAAAGCCTGAACTCGGTCTCCGAGGGTCAGGAGCTCCTTGCAATGGGTGCACACATACGCCACCCACCCACAGGGCAGGTAATCATACATGTTACACTCGACGCAATAAACAGGATAGCCCCCACTCTGCTGCTGGGCTTCTGTCTCCATTTTTCTAATGAATAAGTTTAAGTAAAACTGGTAAAAATTAAGTAAAAATTAATGGGTAGCAGGTTTAAAACTAATAAAAGAAAGTTTTTCTTCACACAGCGTGTAGTCAACCTGTGGAACTCCTTGCCAGAGGAGGCTGTAAAGGCTAGGAATATGGTAGAGTTTAAAGAGAAGCTGGATAATTTCATGGAGGTTAGGTCAATAAAAGGCTATTAGCCAGGGGATAAAATGGTGTCCCTGGCCTCTGTTTGTCAGAGGCTGGAGAGGGATGGCAGGAGACAAATAGCTTGATGATTGTCTTTGGTCCACCCTCTCCGGGGCACCTGGTGCTGGCCACTGTCAGTAGACAGGATACTGGGCTAGATGGACCTTTGGTCTGACCCAGTACAGCCGTTCTTATGTTCTTATGAGGCGCAGGCAGCCCATGAAAACAAAATGTATTTATACCTACAGAGGCACAGTTATCCTCACACCAGAGGGAATGCAGGCCCATCCCACAGACGGGGGCACTGGGTTCTGGAAGGCACAAGATTGTAATTCAGGTAAGGGGAGCAATAAATGACAAATAGGGGAGGCTAAATAGCAAAGAATACAAATGGGAAGTTGTCAGCACTGTATTTAGTGCTCACCAGGACAGCAGGTTTTCTCCCAACATCCCCTCCCTGGGAGGTGTCATGTTGGTGAAACAAACCCAGTTTTGGACAGCGCTGAGTACTAAGGTGCAGAGAAATGGGAAACGATCCAGGAGCAAATGTGAAAGATGCTCCAAGGGGTGAAACTCAAGTCAGCTGAGCCAGTGACAGGAACTGGGAGAGTTTAGTTCGGTAAGGAGGAGACTGAGAGCATGACAGGGGGTTTTACACCCTTTAGCAGGTGGCATGAGAAAACTGGAGGGAAGCGGGTGTCTCTTGCTGCAGAGGGCAGGGCAAGAGGCATCGGGAGCAAACTGCAGCACGGCAGAGTCAGCTTAAATTTCCGGGAAAACTTCCTCCCGGTGAGAACAGCGAGATCATGGAACAGACGCCCCTGGGGCCATGGAAGATCCATCACTGGAAGTTTCAAAAGGAGGGTGGAGAGCCAGGTGCTTTGCTCTGGCACCTCCTGGCTTTCCAAGAGATCCAAGTCAGGAAACAGCCACCCTGTTAGCAGCCAGAGCCCTGAGATGTGAGGGGAGGAGGTGACAGTGTCTGGGCATCAACACACAGCTGGCCCCGAAGGCTTTGTTCAATTCTTTCTCCAAGCAGAGTTTTCCCTCAGTGGAGTCTGAGCAATCCATGGGCCACAGCCTCAGAGTTTTGCTTTGTCCATCTGCTACCCCCTTCCCTCCTGCCGGATCCTCTGGGCCACAGAAATGCACCAGCACAGAGCTGGGGGGATCAGCCATGGGGCAGATACAGGAGAAAGGATGGATCGGGCCCTGGGAGGCTTAGGGTCTGGACAGTGCAAAGGAGAATGAGAAACCTACTGCCTCTCCCAGCACACCCACAATGCACCAGGGGATCGAGGAGGAGAGCTCCCCAGCAGCGAATGGTACCTGTCAGTCCTGGGCGGGAAGCGTCTTCCCTGGGAATCTCTCAGGAAGCCGTGTCCCTCGTCTCTCTCACTGCACCCTCTGCAGCAACATCCCAAGCTAAGAGCTGACACTGGGACTGCACCATTTATAAGGCAGGTCTGTGCCGTCCCAGTGGGCATCGCTCAGCACCTGCGGAGAAGTGACATGTGGGTGTGAACAGGCTGGAGGCTGGAGACTCTCAGGGCAGTGACTGTGTTCCAAGCCTGATTCTGGGCGCTTTACCCAGGCTTGGCAGTAAACAGCAATTAAGGGACATTCCCAGCGGGAGATGAGACGATTCCGAGTCTCTGCTGCGTCACAAGGGAATGGGCTGCTCTGTGTGTCTGTGCACATTTTTAAATTATAGTTGATTAGTTAAAAAAATAAAAGCTAGGGAAATGCCTGGGTCACCATGGACCTCGGAGGGCTGGGCAGACCGTACGGAGACAGATCTGCAGACACATGGCTGAGCGGAGACACAAACACTTTCCACAGGCACTCAAGGCTATTCCTAAGGGATCTGAAATCAGTAGTTCTCGTTTATCATCACACTGTGCAGCACCTTTCATTGGCGTCTCTTCAAAACAGCTGGCAAAATAAAGTCAAGATTAACATACATTCGTTATAAGTTATAGCCATAGGTAAACTGAGGCAAAGAGTGATTGTCTTGGTTAAGGTCACACAGAGAATGACAAACCGACCTCAGGAGTCCTGACTCTCCTCTCTCTCTCAGTAATTGTACGTCTGGCGGGAGAGAGATGGACGCGTGGTCGGGCAGGGCCTGCCCGTGGTGCAGGTCTGACAGGATTCCCGGGTGCTACCTACAATGTGATCACCACGGAGCCCTCTGGCCTGTGCTGGCAGCCTGGCCTGGGAACGTCCCTCCCCTCTGTCGGACGGGCCATTGGCGTTTCCACAGACAGACACGGGCCATTGGCGTTCCCACAGACAGCCGCTGCCTCAGCCTGCGCTGGGTCCTGCCTGACAGACACATTCAGACAAAAGGGCTCAGAAATGAGGCCCTGGATCTGGGCCCTTCCACGGTCCCTCTCCCCACCCCCCGAGGGGCCAGGCGTGTGATCACTCCTCTCCGGCAGGGCTGTCCCACAGGTGCCTCTCAGTAGCGTTGCCAGGTGTCTGGTATTCACCCGGACAGTCCAGTATTTTCGCCTCCTGTCCGGTAATAAAATGTAGAAAATATTGGACACCTCGTAACCCTACGACACACTCAGCAACTGGGTGCAGCCCCCAACCCTTTGCTCTCGGACCCCAGAGAAGCTGTATTCTGGCTCAATCAAGAAAACAAAATGGCCACCAGCAAAAAGCCTAAAGACCTGAGCAAGGGGAAGCCATGCCGTCCCTGGGTCTTAGT